CATGAATTCGTAACAAAATCAAACAATACAAATAAGAATAATATGTTAAACAGTCAGAAGATACAATTCATTTTCATGTATATACAACAATCATTAACATTATGACCTTATTACATTTTCCTTTCTTCTATTCTTGGATTTCTCATTTCAAACTTTTATTACCCCTATGATCCATTGAGGTCTTCATTAAAATAAATAGTTGCTGGATAGTCGCAGCTACATGGATACAATATGTGTTGAACCCACCTCTTTTAGCAAAAACATGGTCAAGAGTTTAAGTCATGAAATGAGTGCGAGGCCTGTAGTGCTCTTACTCTCATTAGTTATGCGCAAATTAAGAAGAGCATCCACCACCCCTATTTCTCCAAGATTTCTAAAATCACTTCCATCTTTCACACTCCTAGTATATCTCTGAATTATTCACGCTTGTCCTTATCATCTTTCCTTTCTCATCACTATTTTCCTTTCTGATTCCATCTCCTTATTCATATTTCTCATTGTGATTCCACTCTTTCATTAGTCATTATAGACTTAGCTTATCACTTTATACCAACATGCTATTCATATTCTTCTCTTTCTATTTTAGTCTAGTCCACCATATATATATATATATATATATATATATATATATATATATATATATATATTCAACACGCATGCTATTCCAAGTCATCAAGAGTAAGAAAACACATTTTATCAACGAACTCATTCAAACATATAATCACAAACAAGAAACATACAACCATATTCACATGAGCATAACATATTATGTTATTAGTAATGTAATAAAACTTTCCTTACCTTAGTAGGTAAATTTATTGAAGGAGTTAGTGGAAAAAAGGCGATCTAATAGACTAAGATCTTCCTACTTATTACATAGAAGAGTACTCCTTAAGAAGAGATAAAACATAAAAAATAGAGGTGAGAATGAAGAGACAAGCTTTGAGATACTCATCAATGATTCCATAGAGTTGAGGTTTAAGCTTGTCATCAAAGTAACTTCGAAGTTCAAAGGCTTTTCTTTGGAGGAGGGAAGAAAGAGTTCAAAGAAAAAGAGTTAGGGAATATTTCTTGGATTGTAATGCAAGTTTTTGGATTAGATTTCCTTAAATATCCCTAAATTCTCGCGGGCTCTCGCTTGAGAGAGACCACTTTCTCCTAGGCAAGCCAATTCTTGTCTAGACGAGAATAACAGACAGTCGTTTGTCAAAGTTTTTTCTGCAATTCTTGCTTGGGCAAGAGTCATTCTAGCCTGAGCGAGATGACATGCACAGAGTTGAATATTTTTCTTGTGAGTCATCACATGAACGACTCATCTTGCCTTAATGAGATCTCTATTCACTTGAGCGAGATCATTCTCACCTGGGCAGGAAGACAATTGGGTTGAGTTTATCCCATTATCACCTGAGCGAGACTCATCTCGCTTGAGTGAAAATGCCTTGAAATCTTATAGTTATAGGCACTCGGTCACGCTTGATCGAGACCCTTTGCACCATACTTCTACCTAAAACCTATAAATCATTCCAACACTATCTAATATCACAGTTCACCAATTAATAAATAAGTGGAAAAAAAAAAGAGAGGGTATTACACATGGCTATAACCCCTTCCTCTCCAACCTATTAAACATTTTTTGGAAAGAATATCGAATTATCCTAGACCAAGAGAAAGTCTACTGGCTTCATCATTATAGGAGCACTTAGGTTTGTTTAGGTGATAGGAACACCAAGTTTTTTCATAGGCAACAGTTCAACATAGGCATAAAAACTTAATTAAAGCCCTAAAAGATAATTAGGGTAATTGTATCTATGATCCTGCCAAGCTTAAATCCATGACTCTTAGTTATTTTAGAGATATTTATCATGATCCTAATCCTAATGACAGTAACTTGTTCTATCATGTATCTTTCCCTCTCCTTAGAGAGGAGGATGAGGTATCCTTTCTCTCAAACATATCCCTAGAAGAAGTCAAAGTTGCACTAATATAGTTATTCACAAGTCCCTTGGACCTGATGGGGTCCATGCCATCTTTTTCAAATAATAGCAGTTCCTAGCCCTTCTTGTCTTAAATTTTGTTCAGGATATTTTGAATAATCCTTCTAAGATTGCCTTTGTCAATGAAACTGGGATAACCCTTATCCTAAAATCTAATAGTCCTGAGCATATCCGTAACTTCAAATCTATTTCCCTTTGTAATGTAAGTTACAATATTGTGACCAAGCTTATTGCAAATAGACTCAAAGAGCTTCTGAACCATATTGTATCTTCTTACTAATTTAGCTTTATCCTTGGCAAGTAGGGGAGTTGATAACTCCCTAATCCTACAAGAATTAGTCTACTCTCTTCACAAGCTGAAAGGAAAAAAAATGTTACATGATTATAAAATTGGACCTTGAAAAAGCTTATAATAGGTTGAGATAGAAATTCATCACTGATGCCCTTACTGAAATTGGTCTCTATTCGGACTTAGTCTCCCTGATTTATCACTATATTACCTCTCCCACTTTCTCTCTCAATTGGAATAATAGTACTACTAATTCTTTCAAACCCTCTAGGGTATTCACCAAGGTGACCTCTTGTCTCCCTACCTCTTTATCCTCAACATGGAGAGGCTAGCTCACCTAATTAATGAGAAAGTATCAAGCAAAACCAAGACTCTCTTTTCCTTTAGTAATCAGGAGCCTACCATCTCCCATCTTTTTTTCACTGATGATATTATCGTTATAGTTAAAGCTAATCTTTAGCAAACCCTAAATATTAACAATACTCTTGAAGCTTTTTATGCAGCCTCAAGGTTGAAAGTTAACCCCCAACAAATCATCCCTCATTTTTTCTAAAAACATTACCTGTTATCTCATTCAAGATATCAATGATATATTAGGAATCAATCCTTCTAATCAAATTAGTAGGTATTTGGGTTTTCCTACTACTTATAGCAGGCCCAACAAAGGTCAATACTCTTTCCTTACTAACAAGATTAGGAAAAAAAAAAAAAACATAACCTCTAGAATATGAAATCCTTATTCCTTGCTGGAAAGGTCACTCTGGTCCAATCTAGTTTCACGAGTGTTCCCCTCCTACGTGATGCAAATATCCAGCATCTCCAACTCTATCTATAAGGACATAAACTCTATATGCAAGCACTTTATATGGGGCTTCGTTGGGGCTAACAAGTGTCATTTGATTAGTTGGTAGAAAATTTGTAGGCTGAAAAAAGATAAGGGACCTTATATTTAGGGATCTTAAAACTTTGAATAATGCTTACTTTATGAAATTATGGTGAAGGCTAATTACCTCTCCTAACTCTATGTGGAGCCACGTCCTGCGCAGTAAATACAAATTTTGACTAGGCAAAGACCCTAGGCTTTGTAACAATCTTTAAGTCTCCCACCTTTGGAAGACTCTTTTATTTATTTGGCCTAGTTTTAGTAATGGGCTAAGTTGAAAGCTCGGGGATGGACTTTCTACTAAGTTTTGGGTCGATAATTAGACATCTAAATTCCCTATATTAGCTAAGCTGACTAGAACCCCTGTGCTTGCCTAGGATCTAGACCTCCCTATAGGTTTTTTTTTCATCCAATAATAGCTAGAATTGGGAGAAATTTTCTCCTTATCTCCCTAACCAAGTTTGCCAGGCCATATCTCTTATAAAACCTCCTTCCAGATTAATTGGTAATGACAAAGTGTTCTAGAATAGAACTAGCAATGAGATATTTATAATTAAATTTGCCTATAATTTACTTTTTAATCTTGACCCGATCCCTTATAAATTTGCTTGCAACAGTAGGTCACTTGTCATTAGATGGTTAATTAGATGCCTCCTCCTCTTAACCATGTGAAACTCAATACGAATGTTGTTGTTTCTAGGAGTACATGTGAAGTTGCCTGTGGTGAGCTTGTTCGAGATAGTGGAAAAAGTATACTGTTAGGGTTTAGCAAGAAAATTAATTCCTGTCCCCCTTTGGAAGCTAAACTTTAGGGCCTTTACTTTGGCATCCAACTGGTTGTGAAGAAAGGTTTCCATTAGATTTAGATTAAGAACGATTTTAAGCAGGCTATTCACCTTTTTAACAGGTTCAACACTCTTCCCACCTGCTGTTCCAGCTAATACAGAACATTAGGAATGGTTTAAGCTCCATCAAATGTATTGAGCTTATACGAAGCCAACTTACGTGCCTGATAGCCTAGCTAAGGCTGGGTTAGAAGATAATTTGTATCCCTTTCAATTTGAGTCTATCCCTTCTAATCACCTCCCTTTTCTATAGGTGGACTCCCTTAATATAAATATTCCTAAAAACTCTGTTTTTATGTAGTTTTACTTGTCTAAGTTTCTAACCCTTATTTATAGAAAAAATGTTAAATATAAAAAATAAATTAATAACTATTCTTAATTGTGTCTAAACGTTATGTATATAATAATTAATACTAATATAATAACCAAATATTAAATAGTATGATAAAAAAATATTTAAAATTAATAATATCTTATTAAAAATTAAATATATTATTTTTTATCATCAATTAAAATAAAATTAATAAAAATAATTTAGGAAGTGATTCTCTCATCTTAATAGGTTTAGAATATAAAATTTAAATAAAATAACATCTTAAAAAGTTATTTTAATAAAAACTCATTAATTTATATAAAATAATACTTGAGATAATTTATCTCATTAATTAATAAAATAATTATATAATTTTTAAATATACTATGTATTTTTTTATTTAATTTAATTTAAATTTGACTTTGAGTCGTAAAATAGTAGATAAATTTATTATTAAATATATTTTTTTATATATAAATCATCGCTTATTACCTTTAAAATTCTTTTTTATAAATTAATTTTTTTCTCTTTATTACATTATTTAATTATTTTATTGTAAAAAGCTTTTCGAAATCGTTGCACAGATAAAAAATTTTAAAAAATTAATGGAAATAAATATTAAGAAAGAAATTTTTACCCAAAAAAAAAAAAGAAAAAAAAAAAGGTCCTTGTTGAACACTGGAACTGAAGGTGATAAACCCTAAACCACGCATAGAGAAGTCTGAAGAACTTGACATTCACCACACGATCGAGAATCGCGATTCCAATACGAAGAAGCAATTTAAACAACAATAACAAAGAAACAAACAATGCGTTACATAACAGTGTTGTTAACTTAATTAGCGTTTTGGAACTCTCGATTCTATACACGCAGGACCACCGTCACAACCATGGGCCGTCACTCCTCCACCAATCACTCTCCCTCCTCTCGCCGTCACCGGACCCACCGCAGCATCTCTCCGCCGCCGCGAGACAAGCACGAACACTCCGGCCGCGGTTCGGCCAAGCCGGTTCGGACCGATTCCGGTTCGCCGGATCCTCTTCCTCGCTCCCAGTCTCCCTCCCCGCGAACGAAGCGGTTGAAGAGAGCTCAATCCGAACGCGAGCGCGAGCCACGCGAGAGTGAGAGGAACCATGGCAGTGGCAGAGGCAAGGGTTCGGAGAGAGATACGGTTGAGCGGAAGGAGAAGAAGAGAGCACAGAACGACGACGGTGGTGGCGGCGGGAGCGGAAGGAGTAACAAGTCGTCGCGGTCGAGGCACGAGAGGTCGCCGGAACGAGAACGGAATGGGAGAAGCCGGCATAGGTCTCCGTCTCCGGCGCATCATCATGGCTCCGCCGCCAACGCAAAACCTCGTGATGAGGTGTCCGGTGATATCCAACCCTAGTTCTAACCATTATTTCAAGTTCTATTTTGTTTTTCCTCCTAATTTTACTCGCTTTTGTTTCTTTTTTGTATGTTGTTTTGCTGAACTGAAGAATTTGAAGCTGTCTTTTAATGCTGTTTTGTAATTGAAAAAATGAGGATGTGGTTTTGAGTAATGGTGTTTTTATGATGCTGCTGTTTGTTGTTTTGTGTAATTGATTTGAATCCTGTTTCAGTGTTGGTAGTGGCTTTTGCTAGGAAGGGGTGTAATTGGATTGAGTTGGGTGGAAATTTAGCTAGATGTTGATTGAATTTGTGGAATGTTAAGTTTTGGAGGTAATTTAAGAATATGCAGAGCTTTGTCTGAGGCATGAGTGGATCTTAGATTGTTTGGCATACTGAGTTTTTAACTGATTGATTGGGAGACTTTAAGAATGAGGTTGAAACTTGTATTTGGATGTTGCAATTTTATTTAAGGTACCTTTGACGATCCTAGAAAGTATTTGATGATTTTCTGAAGCTGGCGTTGACTTTGAGTCAAATATTGTTACCAAGGTTGTCAAAACCAAGTTTCAAGGTTTGAATGGAGGGGGGATTGTAGGGTCTCTGGATCGCAAAACAAATTGTAAGAGTCTACTATAATGCAGAATTATATGTAAACACATACATATATGCATAAGAAATAGGATAAAAAAAAATCCCTTAAATCAGACCAAACATTTAATTATACTTATATCTCTTAACCAAAAAACATGCAGAAAGAGTAGCAGGAGGGAACCAGAATAGGATGAAGCAGCAACAACAGTGAGGCACATAGGGGTAGCAACACAGCATGTGCACAAGTGTTTTGGGAGATAGAAGTGAGGGGAGAAGGATTTGAGTGTTAGGGAGGGAGGCAACACCAAGCCTTTGTTGGGTTGAAGATGACCATAGAGAGACTAACTGAAGAGCAAAATTTTTTAAGAAAATGGCTCCCAACTAGGTTTTCTGTTAACAAACTGGGTCATGTGACCCGAACCGTATAAGACTCAGGTTTTTGACTCATTTTGGAGCACACTACACCAGCAATTTGTGCTTTGAACCATTGTTTCATCCTTCTCCAGCCTTGGAACTGCGCCATAGTGGTGTGTGATGTGAAGGCGGGAGAATAACTCACTGGATCATGCATTTTAATAGATATTATTCTGGTATTTTGTATTTGACATTGCTGTTTTACTTTTGGTAAAGAAAAGTGCTTTATTTCAGGATTTCAATCTTGTTGAGTACCTGTTTATTTCATGTGCATACTGTTGTTATGATGTCATGTTACTGGATAGACTTGTTATGCAGTCATGGTCTCATGATGTTTCTAAGGTATTATGGTATTGAAGATTAAATAAGGGTTAAGGTGAGGATCATGGCATCCGTCCGGGGTCTCATGGGGGTTATAGAATGTAGCATTTCACATTGGAAGCATTTAGTTTTAGTACTAAATTAGAAATTTCAGATGATAGGTTAAAGTAGAGCGATCAGTAATTTTTAATTACAACCAGTTATCATAAGTATGGCAAGATCAGTTTAACAGAGTTTACTGGAAATGACCGGTGAAGTGATGATAATGAAGGCATATGGAATCATAGGTGTATAGAAATATACACTTGTATATATCTTGTATACTAGTGATCTTTTTCAAATTATCAAAGATTGAAAATATTTCTTTTCTGATTCACCTTTTCTCTTGTAGTGTTCATGGCTTGCTTTTCTAGGATACAGGAATAGAGAAATTTATGATTATTGTTCATTCTTTGTCTGTGTTTTTCTTGTTTTCTGTTGTCTTCTATTTCTTGGGTGTGGTGAGGGTGTGCTGGGGTGAATCAAATCAAAGTCAATGGAGCTTACTAGAGATAAGCCCCTAGGGTTCATGGGAAAAATTTGTATATGTTGTTTTTACATGGGGTCTGTTGCCTAATTTGGCATGGAAGAGTCACTTCCAAATTACTATCTTACTTTTCTTTCAAGGCAGGTTTATTTTTCCTTTAACTTCCCTAGGCTTCAATGGGGAACAGTTTGTATATGTTGTTTTTACATGTGTTCTGTTGCCTAATTTGGCATGGAAGAGTCATTTCCAGATTCCTATATCTTACTTTTCTTTCAGGGAAGATTTGTTTTGCCTTTACCTCCCCTCTTGGTTCCCAAAATCTTGGTTGATATATTATTCCATATTTTTGGCATTTAATTTATCATTTTCCCTTGTTTTCTCCCCTTTTTTATGGTATCTTTATTCCTGTTTTGAAATTTTATGCATTTTAAGGTTTCACGTTTCTCTAGAATCGATGTTTATCTGGATTGCTGTCTAATTTTTGCAGGCAATGAACTCAAGAGGGGATCAACAGATGTAAGCTTCTGTTTCAACTTTCAATTGTATATTCAAGTTCTGTTGCTGTTTGATGTTGACCATAATGTGTTATTGTTGGTTTTGGTTTGATTTTATTTGAGCCAATGACCATTAGTGTTCAGGTCATTTCTTACGTTTTCTGCTCCTCCTCCTCCCTCTCTTCACAGTTTGGAACTTTGGATGCAATTTTTGTATAGATTAGAGTTTCTTGGTATAGCTTTTAATGACAGTTTTATTGCTGCTTTGCAGGAATGATGAGGATGAATCTATTAGGAAGATGAAGGCTGCTGAGGAGGCTCTGGAAGAAAAACAGAAGGTAATAATGCACCTTTTTTGTTAGAAACTTGTGCCAGTAATATTATGCAGTTCTCCATGTCCTTTTCTGATTGGGGTGGGACTATAGGAGTTGAGATCCCTTTCAGATTATTAAGTTGTGTATTTGTTTAGGGAAGTATGACCTATTTAATCCCTTATACTTTATTGCTAAGCTTCATATTGTTGAGTCTTGCTTTGATCTCTAGGAGGGTTTGATTGCTAATATGGTGTCTTAGTTGCTTTGCACATGAAGACAATGTTTGATTGTCCCCTTGGTATAGAGATTATTCTTCTCGAAGAACATAATCAAGGATGTTATATGAAATACTTGCTACAGTTTTTTCTGGTTTCCAATACAATAATATTTAATCAGGTGTCCTTTTCCTTTATGGAGGAGGCTAGAGTGAGACATCCAAGCTCTAGATATTACTGGCCAATGTGTTAGTAAGACCTTACCATTCAAAAAGGAAAACAGAAGGTGTGTAATTTTGAAAATGAAGGAGAAGATAGGAGGGAGCTAATATTTAAGTAGTATCGATGTAGAAAACACAGACAACATTTATGTTTATGTTGATTGAATTCTGAGTAAGTTGTGTGCCCAATGCTTAGTGTGTCTTTATTGAGTTGCAATACATGGAAGAAAAAGTTGAAACATAACATGATTTAACAACTTAAAAGCTATTGTTATATTTTTGCATAAATGAGTGTGTAGATTTTCCGAGTGATTTGTTCCTATTGGCTTTTCTGAAATCCTCTGCCATTTGCAGCAAAAACCTTCATTTGAGCTATCTGGAAAGCTTGCGGCTGAAACAAATCGAGTTAGAGGTGAAACTAATTATTTTTTTATGTGTAGAACTATGAACTATCTATTTGATTTGTAAATGAGTTTATCTTTCTTTTTAATTGTATGCTGAACAGTATTTCTTTTTCAGGTGTTACTTTGTTATTCAATGAACCACCAGAGGCTCGAAAACCTGATATTAAATGGAGGCTTTACGTTTTCAAGGCTGGTGAAGTGTTAAATGGTTAGTCTTTATGACATCTGCTTGAAAATTATGTGATTCACAATTTTCTTTTTTTTTCACTTTTCATAATCAATCCCCCCAGGACTAGGAACTTTTTCTTGTTTTGCATAAATAGAAGTGTAATTACTTAGAATATGAGTACTCAGTCCTCACCATTTGGATTTACTCTTGTTCTATCATGAGTACCATAGATTTTTCTTTGCAAGTTAGTTGAGTTTCTAATACCTTAGCCATTGGGTTGATTTGTTTGTAATATGCCTGGATTCCTTTTCTACTTCTATGTTTAACTGTATTCATGTCTAATGTTTTCCGTTTGTGTGTACAATTTCCTTCCTTTTCTCATAATTTTTGAACAGTTAATTTTAAATTTTTTTCCAATTCTTCTCACAGTTAAATTGATAAATTTGTTACCTTAGTTGATTTTCTCTACTTCCAAAGAATAATTTTATTGCTTTCTACCTACTTTTGCTAAAAGAAATGTATGGTTGACAGAGCCACTTTATATACATCGCCAAAGTTGTTATCTTTTTGGAAGAGAAAGAAGGGTTGCTGATATCCCAACAGATCATCCATCTTGCAGCAAGCAACATGCTGTTATTCAATTTCGGTATTCATCCATTTAAACAACCCATGTGGATTATTTTGGTTATTAGTGTTTTAACATTGAATTTTTAAAATTCCTTTTCTTGTTAGGCAAGTTGAAAAGGAGCAATCTGATGGTGCATTATTAAAGCAAATAAGGTAATGCCTGATTCTTACTTTGTTGACTCCACATGTACAGCCAAAAGTTTCTGCATCTGCAAACCCTAATATTCTTGCGATCTGCACTAGGCCTTACATTATGGACCTTGGAAGCACAAACAAAACTTTTGTTAATGTGAGTGGTCGTTGAATGCTTTTGATTAGTTTCTTTGGTTAATTTAGAATCTAATGAATGAGCTGAATTTAGATGTCTGATGCTTTCCATGTTTGCAGGATAGTCCCATTGAACCTCAACGATATTATGAACTCAGGGAAAAAGATACCATTAAATTTGGTAATAGTAGGTAAGTGGGAAGTAGATATTAGTTGTTTTTCATGATGTTCAAAATACGTTTCTTTTGTTTGACAAAAGAAAAAGATTCCCTCCAATCCTATTTATAAGATATTTTTAACGGGATTACACAGATTAATATAATAAAAGTTGTTGAAAGTAGTTAATGTATCAATTTTTGAAAATCAATTACAACATTCCAAATTTATCTCTATTTAAAATCAAACTTTATTATCATATGAACTGTAGAAAAGTTAGAAAGATTGAGGTTTATGAAGGGAAAATATTTGAAGAAATAATAAATGTTCAAAACTTTGAAAATGGTCTAATATTAGGGACTACCAAAAGATTTTGAAAGGGTCTTATAAAAGGGATCGGACGAAGAATTAGGCTAAGTTGTATTGCTATGCTTTCATATGAAACTTTAGTAATTATCTTACTTTCCGACAAGTAAAAAAGAATCATTTTATGGCCGGAGTAATATGTAAGGTGAATCATTCAATATATGAACGTATGTTGTTAGTTTGATAGGAAAGAAATTTCTGTATTAAATGCTGAAAGCTTATGAGTCCAGTCATGGAAAAAGATTCTTAAAAGTGATTAGAGGGAAAGAAGGATCTTTCGGGTGGAAATGGAAGTCCAAAATTGAAAAATAGAAATAATATTTGAATATATGGAATTATATCCTTGTGTTCTGTTCTCCAGTTGAGCTGAGAAGTGTGTGGAAACTATTGGTTTGAAGTGCCAAGTTTACACATTTCAATTTTGTCTACGGAGGTCTGAAGCCAATTAGGTCTTTAAATGGAAAAACAAGATTAATTCTCATGAAGCTGAAAAAACAAATCATGACATTTAGACATTTTTGGTGTACAAGTGTGTGACTGAAAATTTCCTGGCTGGACTAGTGTGTTTAGTACATGTCAATGCATGGAATTTTATTTTATTTTGTTATTACAAATGCAAGGCCGTGATTCATGTAGTCGACCTTACCCAGAAAGATATGGCTTGATTGTTGATATTTATTACAAATGCAAAGCATTTCTGACTACCACTCATATTATGCACATATAACTCATGCCCTATTCACCACCTCTATTTCTCAAGATTTCCAACGCAATAATATATTCTGTACCTGATGACTACTTTATTCTGTATAAATGCATTTTATTAATTTGTTTTCTATTGCAGCCGAGAATATGTATTACTGCATGAGAACTCTATTGGGTAATGGACATTGATCTCTCCAATTCTGTATCTCCCGCTCATCAGCGTTGATGAAAGCAACCATTCGACCCAGCAGTTTTCCCAGTCATGCCCAATTTATGTGTATTCTCTCTTTTCGGAAGCTTCTAGTTCAGCTTGTCAAGTTTCTTGTTATTATATATGTACAAGACACATTTGATAATTTACTTTTAAGCTGTATAATACAATATTGAGGGCCCTGCCAAATTAGAATTTCATAGCCTTGAGCAAAATGCACCCTTCTAAGATAAACTTGCCCAGTGAACATTTGCTTGCTAGTTTCGGATAGGGTTCGACATTTCATGATCCAGTTCAGATCCTGTTCATTTTCTCGTCAATCATTATAATTATTATAAAATACAAATTTTTGTATCAAAACTATAAATGCTGTCAAATTTTTAATGGTCATGATTTTGTCTATTTCTCTTAGAAAATGGAGAGGATCCATGATGTTGCATTCGTTCTCCTCCTCCCTCATGAAGTTTAACTCTTGAATAAAAAATTTGAATGATTGGGGTGAGGTCCTCGTGTCTTGAATTTAATATTATTTTACTTCGAGGATTTTTTTATTAAGAGCATTTCTCAATAAAATAACTTTAGTTTTGATGCATAACTGTAAAAAAAAAAATTATATTATGTAATAAGTCTTGTATGCTAATATATGGTTGAAGAGTAGTGTATTTTTACACTAATAGTATATTTAGTTAAATTAATACAAATTTCTTTCAGAAAAAAATCAAACAAATTATTTGCACGTGGTGAGTTGGCAGTGGTGGCCATGAAAATTAATAATTTAACGTATATGAAAAGGAAAAAGAGTTTCACAGAATTTATTAATATGCATAATTTAATATTTTATTAATAGTGTTTGATTTTATTTCTGAAATAAGTGATATAATAAATAAGAACTTTACTAACTTTTGTTTTAACTATATCAATTAAGAAATTAATAAATAATTTATTAAATATTATGAAAATAAATATATTTTATATTTTAGTAATATTTTAGTTTTTATAAAGTATTTTCCAATAAATAATTTAATAAATATAATGTAAAGTTTTATAAAATTTTAATCAAAAAATTTTATTTTAAAAAGATGCGAATATAAATACGCTCTTACTTGAAGATGCGATTGCGTGGGTTCCTTTCAATCACGTCACGTCTAATTTATAAAAGCACGTGTCGTTAAACAGCACATGTTAATATATTAAATTTTATAATATTTATTAGTTTTAATTCATTTTTATCACATTTGTTTTTTTTATTATATACTTTTAAATTTACATTTAAAAAATTGATAAACTATCATGGGTTATAAAAAAAAATCTAATGCGTGCTTTTTTTTTTAAGACGTGTGGAAAGATATTTCTGAAAAATAATAAAAAAGTGTTTTTAAAATTAATTTTCATCTAAATATAGGAAACAATAACTAGCAGGATAACCTAAGAATTTTGAATAACGACACTTTAACCTACAATCATAACAGTTTGATGCTTAAAAAAAGAAAAAGAACAGGGGACTTTTCCTATACACTGACATTGATCGTCCACGTTATTAGCTCTAATTGTATTTTTTTTATCATCCTTCAATAAAAAAAATTAACTATACACTTTTTAATTTTTAATTTTAATAAATAAAAATAACATATTAGAGACCATCTTATTAATATTTTTTAATATATTTAAAAATAAGTCATGAAAATAATAAATGATAAATAAAAAAAAATTATGATGTGAAATTGGGTGCATTCGAAAAATTATTTTTCCTTAGACCTTGGCTGTTAAAAATTATTGTGATGCTCCATCGTTATAATATGTGTTCTTTTGTTTTGAAAACAATGGTGGCTGCTATTCAATCCACACCATAACAACACTAGTGGTGCTGAAGGAGACACACATCGAATCAGAATCCGAAAAGGGTGAGTCCACGTCAATCACATCAATATTACTTTTATGTTTTATAATATTTTATCTTTTTTATTAATTTATTTTTTATTAACTTTTTTTAAATTGTTTTTAAATTACACCTTTTTACTAAAAAAAAAAAACAAATTTTACCCGTTTAAGTTAAAAATATATCCTTACAAATTAGTTTTTCATTTATGATTTTTAGAAATAATATATTAAAAATACGATATTTTAAAAAATTATAAAAAATACGAGGTTTAATAATCGTTATTACTAATTTTTGGTATAGCTACATAAATTCAGAGATAAAAAATTATCAAGAGTCAAAAATTATTAATGATAATTTAAAAAAATTTTAAAAAAGTAGCACATAGCTATTTTTAAAATAATAATAAAATATTCTAAAAATATCAAATATCATGAAGGATGATTTTTAAAATTTTTTCATGTTTTTTATAATTTTACCAAAAAACATTATTGCATATAATAATTGTAAATAACATTTGCTCAAGGAATTAAACCTAAAATTAAGCATTAGAATTAGAATTTGAATTTGAAATTGAAATTCAAGTCATAACATTTATTTAGTACATACGTTAGAACTGAAGTTGTAATTTTAAATTATGAAAATTTTTAAAAAGAATTAAAGTATATTTTTAAATTTTAAAGTAATTAAAGGAAGTAATAGATTTTCATATATTTATATAATGATGTATGATATGAGAAAAAGAGATTTATGAGTATGCGTGAAAATTTTTCGCTTTTTAAAGTTGGTGTTAAGTTGAGTGTACCTGTTGTGTTAGTTATGAGACAAGAGTATATGCATGACCTTATTATGTCTAAGAAAATTTGTTTACTATTGATTAATTATTTGATAAATTTAACTATGTCTAAATAACTTTTGTTAATGTTCCTTAATCTTTTGTTTTGGATGCCTATAGTGGGTGTGAATTTTTTAGCCTTAATATAGGAAGTGTACTCTATGTTGTTATAAGATATGGTTACAATCACAAGATACACATATTTCTTCATTGAAAGAACTAAAAATAATTTTTTTCTTAAAAAATATTGCAACACATCCCATGTAACTTTACAATACACACTTCCAATATAATTTTTAACTTTATTTATTAATTACCTCTTTAAATAGTACCTAACAATATAACACCCTCTTTTTATTTAATTATTATTTAGTGAATTGCGTAATATTAGATGATGTTGAAATGTGTTTTGAAGTGATTTAATGAGTGTTTGATAGGAGTTTGATGCAGGGAATCTCAATCATGTGAGACTAAGTATCCAGAACCATAAGATTTGAGGGTATTCTCGCTCAAGCGAGAATTGGATAAACTCAACCCAAACTCACAGGAAAAATGGTTAACTCTTGGATCGTCTTCTCACTCAAGTAAGAATAGTAGAAAAAGCTTGGAGGAACCGTATTCTCGCCCAGACGAGAAAGGGCTCGCTCAAGCAAGAGTGGTATGGCTCAAGCGAAAGTTCACAATAAGTGAGAGGTATTTAAGAGATTTCAGACCAAAAACTCATTATAATATAAGAAATCTTTCCTAACTCATTTTCTTTGAACTCTCTCTTCCCTTCCTCCTGAGGAACTCCTCTGAACTTTGAACATACTCTAAATCCAAGCTTGAATCTCAACTCTACAGAATTGCTAGTGAGCATCTCAGAGCTTAACTTTTTGTTTTCATTCTATTTTCTTTGTTTTCTCTTTTCTCAAAGGGTACTTTTCTCTAATATATGTAAAAGGATCTGTCTTTTGGACAACCTTGTTTCACTAACTTCTTCATGAAATTTGTCTATTTGAGGTAAGAAGAGCTCTATTCCATTGTTAAGAACATGATATATTTGTACTCATGAAAATGTGTGTGTGTGTGCATTTATGTTGTGGACTGAGTTCGAAGGTGCTTGATCTCCAATAACTTATTGATATATGACAGAGGCAATGAACTTTAATAAAGAGAAAGAAAAAATATAATGAAAAATAAGATACCATAAAAATAACAATTTGTGTAGAATAAGAGAAAAAAAAATGGTGAAATCAAGATATAATGAGGAATACGAAAAGAGAAATGGTGATGAGAAAGGAAAGATGAAAAGGACGAGTGTAGATAGTTCAGAGATATACTGAGAATGTGAAAGATAAAGGCGATTTTAAAAATCTTGGGAAAATGAGGGTGATGAATGCTTTTCTTGATTTGTGCATATTAATGAGAGTAAGAGCACTACAACCTCACACTTATTTCTTGACCTAAACTCTTGACCATGCTTTTGCTAAAATGAGCCGGATCGACACACATTGTATCTGTGTAGATGAGATTATCCAGCAACTATATATACAAGGAAGACCTCAAAGGATCTCATGGGCAATGAAAGTTTGAAATGAAGAATCTAAGAATAATAGAAAGGAAAATATAATAAAGTTATAAAACTGATGGTTATAGTATGTATATTGAAATTAACTATATTGTTTTTATTAATTAGTGTGTTATTGTAGTTTCATTGTAAACAATAATGATGGTTTTGGCATTATATTTACTTTAGAAATAACAATAAGATATAATGTACCTTTTGATTACCTTAGCAGTGGTAGGATCCACCATATCCTATGCTTGTACATATACAAAGGTTTGATCAGATCACCAGATGCGTGGAATTACTGCATACTTTTTTGGATATGATCAAAATAAAAGAGCAAGTCATTTTATCATAAAGCGAATTACAGGTACTAAAGTAGTGGAGACACAAGCGATCTCAATAGAGACGATAACATATCTTAAGAGGAATTAGTAGGGATAAAGAGATGATTTAAGAATGATGATTAGCATCATCTTCAGTTTTTTGGTGTGAATATACTGTTCATTAGAAGTTGTTGTATTTTGTATTTTATTTGTAAATAGTATAAATGAGTTCTAATGTATTTTTGAATTATATTTTGTAAATAATAAACTCTTGTATGATAATTAACTAGTGTCCATGTATGTTATTTTAGCTTCCTACCTAAATTTATCATTTTTTTATTGTTTTATTATTGAAAAAATTTATGAGTCTAAGTAACAAAAATGAAAGTTTTACATTTCTTGCACTTTGCATTTTGAATACAAGTGAAATTTAATTTAATTTCCTCCTTTCAATATAAAATTATTTCCTTAAATAGTATAAATAAATAAGAATGTTACAAATAAGACTCTACTTTGATACTTTTTGTTTAAAAACAAAATCGAACATGTTATTTTTATGCATAAATTATATATAAAAACATCCTTAAAATTTATAAAAAGAAAGGTAAAATGTAATTTTTAGATAAAAACTTATGCATGGTTAATTCTAATCATGTCATTGTAGAATGTATTTTATGTTTTTAGATGACTTGTGAAGGCCTAACAATTTAAAAGCCGCATTTTCGAGCCAATAAGAGATTATTTGTGTTTCTAAGATGCTAGTTTGTGATTAGCACCTTAATAAGCTTTTGTCAAGAACTTTTTCTTCTTAAGTTATCTCCAACATAAATGCTTAAATATCGAAAAGGCAATGATCTCACTTTATAATTTAAAAATCAAGATGTTATGTCTAGAAAATTACTTGTTACATTCACTCCTATAATACAACTCTTATAAAAAATAATTTTAAGATAATTAAAAGTAATTTTTGTTAAAAAAAATTTATAACACACACCTCAATGCAATTTCTATTTATCTATTTATTAATTAATTCCTAATGATATTAGTTAAACAATTAAAAATATGTCTTTTAAATGTTATGCACACATTCCATGTGATCTTTCAATGCACACCCAATGTAATTTCTAAATTTTTGGGCAAAATTTAAACACTTTCTTCTTTTGGATTCTTCAAATATGATGAAATATATGAATAATGATAAAATATATGAATAATGTGTTTGTGCTTGTTGTCTTCTTTAAAATGCTATTGTTTGTATTGTTTTTTTTTTTTCTCTTTATGTATGTAAAAGTTTTTTTGTCTTCTCTAAAACAAGTTTTTTTTTTTAAAGTATCCTCCATAGAAAATAATTCTGTTCAAACAGTAAGTTTATGCTAAAAAACGATCTATTTCTTGTATAACAAATTTGAGTTTTTATTTTATTTTTATATATTCTCTTATAATGTAATCATATGTCTTTTTATTTTGGATTTTCTAAACTTTTGTATCAAATCAATTTAATATTTTCTTATTTAATTAATTGTTTAATAAAAAATTTACTATTTTTATTTTCTTTAATCAATCTCAATATTTTTAATCAAATTTAAGGATAAGGTTATTTATAAAACATCATTAAAATATTTTGTTAATAAAAATAATTTTGTTTATTTTTATATTTTAAAATATGATATCCTTAATAAATATTTTATTAATAAATTATTTTTTTTAAAAATAATTTTAATTTATATTTTTATATTTTCTCTGTATTCATTCACTCGTCTAAAGTAAGTCTGTCACTTCCATTTGTAACTTGTTCTTGTTTTGTAGCATTTTTTAAATTTGTTAGATTTTATAATTTTATTTTATTTTATTTATCCTTTTAGAGAGATCTTACAGTAAATAATTCAAGACAGGCCAAAAGCGTCATAGCCAAGGTGATAGTTGCGAAGTTAATTATTAAAATTTGTAAACTTGTAAAGTAATTTTAAATTATTAAAAATATTAAATATAATTATTTTTTAATATAAATATTTGTTTAAAATTTTATTCTAATTAACTCCTTTTTTGCATTTTTATTGTGCAATTTTAAAAAATTTTTTTGTCAGTGATCTCATACTCATTTTAAAAAAGATAATAAGTAAAGGAAAGAAATCAATGAATTTTTTCTTTTTCATAATTTTATTGAAGAATATTAAATGGCATTTAAATAACATTATGCAGGTTTTATCCAATTAGATTATAATTCCAATTTTATTATCCAAATGGAAATATAATAATTTCCTAGTTACAAAATAAACATAATAATAAATGGAAATTTTATTTTTTAATAATATTAAATGGGTTTAATAAAAATATATTTTTCCGGTCTTACTAAAAATATTCAAATACATAATAGAGAAGTATTATTTGATTTCCCGAAAAAGAGTTTAATAAAATAAATGTGTTCATATCTTTAAAAAAATTGTCTCGTAACCTGCAACTGCAAGTTCTCATACATTATGCAAATATTTTAAAATTAGGTAATAATTTGAAATATAAATTAAAATAAAAATATTTAAGAAAAAAATTAAAATTCTGATCTAGGTAAGTAAGCAGAGAAACCTAAATAGCTCAAATTTAGAAAAACGAAATAAACTTAAAATTTTAAATAATTAATTTAAAAGTATAATTGACATTTCAGAAAAAAATAATATAAGAATTTATTTTGGAGCAGAATTAATTAAGATTTGAAATGAAAAGAATATGTAAAAAGAACAATTTTTTAAAAATTGAACAAGTTGAGAAGAGTGAATAAAAAATATTTTTGACAAAAGAAGAAAAATTGAAAATATATAATATTTGAATAATTTTTAAAAAAATTAAAATTAAATTATGGAAATAATGAAAATAAGAGAGTGTGAAAAATATATTAAATAGTCTTATTTAAAGAGAGTGCTTAAACTTACCATTAAATTGATTAACCTATTTTATAGCTGCATTTAAATAGTCTTACTCTGACATTTAATCTCATTGACAGTAATAAGCTTTGATTAAATTGGCTCTACCTTTTTTTAACAAAATTTTATTTTTTAAAATTAGCTAATAAACTAGTTTATTCATTCAAGCAATGATTGATTTGTGGATTAAAATGAATTATTTTCCTTTATTACATTAAAATAATTTAATTTCTTCAATAAATTTTTTTTATATAAATAAATGGGTTGAACTATAAATTTAAAAATCACGTTTTTTTGTTGAAGGGAAGTAAACAAAGTTGGAAAAGATGAATATGAGATGAAAAAAATTGAGAAGACTGATTTTAATGGTGAAAGAGTGATTTTCTGTTGTTTGGTGCTTTTCTCATTTAATGGAAGAAAATAAATTAGGGAAGTGGAGTCCACACAAATAAATAATTTCATACCAATGTTATTTTTTTATTGTTAAATATTTTTAAATAATATAAAAATTTAAAAATAATAAATATAAAGAAAATGTTATATTAAAAGTTTAAGTTTTTTTATTAAAATATTTTTTACTATTATGAAAATATTTTATAAAAAATTTCTTATTTCTTATTCTTTTTTTTGTATTCATTTAAATAAGTAATGGTTTTTTTTTCTTAAATATAATTCTTGTCCTCTAAAAATTTTAAAAATTTCTATTTTATCCTTTGGTTTTAATTTTTTTAAATAAATTTCTTAAAAATTATATTTTTAATATAGTCCCTTTATTAGTAATTCATTACTTTTTTTATTTTATACTTTTATCATTGACATAAATTTTTTAAATTTTAATTTTAAAGTCTTAACTTTATTCGTTAAAATTTTATTTAAAAAATATGAAATATGTGATGTTATTAATAACATATTTTACTCATGTTATATTTCAATTAATTTATATAAACAATTTAGATGTTATATAAAAAAATAATGAAACAAGTTAATAAATTACTAATAGAGACTAAATAAAAATTAAGACATTATTTTGAAAAAAATAAATCAAGAGGGATCAAATATATGATTTATAAGTTTTTATAAAAACAAAATTTTATTTAAATTATTTTTAATGTCTTTCTCTTTTAGTATTTATTCATTATATTTTTATTCTTTTTTTTTATTTTTAATGCATTTCTCTTTTATATTTTTTACATATTATTTTTTTAATCTATTTAATTGACTTGATTTATTAAAATACTATATTGGAGGTACTGAAAAACTAATTTATAAAAAATAATAAATATATTCTAATAAATTATTTATAAAAATTAAATACAAATTATAAAATTTTTGTAAAATTCAAGCACTTTGAGTCTAATTTTTTCTAAACTAAAAGAATTGAACCTGCATCTAAAACTATGTCAGAGTTACATTTAACATGAGCTTTTGTCAACTAAGGGCTATGTGGATCAATTGAAGTTTGTATATCCTCCTCTAATAATAAGAGATGCACTTTTAATAATAAAATTAATTTTTCTATCTTATTATTTTTTAATATTTATTTATCTAACATGAAATAATAAGTTTATGTTATAGTTTTTTCTTATCTTACTTTCTAATCTAGATTTTATTTTATAAAAAAGTCTAAATTTAAAATAAATAAAATAAGATAACATACTATATCAAATTTATATATCAATTATATTATAAAATAATAACTTAATTACCCTTATTTTATCATATTTTTATTTAACTTTTATATTATTCTTATCGACTCATATAAATTAATTAATTATTATATTTTATTTAAATTACATAAAGTTTTTGTAAGAAATAATTGTATTTGACTTGTAATGATTATATTAAAATTATATTTTTAAATATTTATCATAATCATAGCCGCATTACTTAAGACTCGAAATCAAAACTTTGGATTAAACTAAAACCCACATGATGAACCATCTTTTAAGTCTCATTTAATGCTTAAGACAATATAAAAATAAATAAAATATTTGGAAAAAAATAATACTAAAAAAATAGGAAAAAAAATAAAAGTTGTGACATTTTCCATGCGTGACAAATCGCGTAGAAAAAACCAGACAATTCAAGATCAGACCAAATCTAATCACAGCGTTGTGAGTTGTTCCTCTGAATTCTGTCGCTATGTAAAGACAAACAAATCAAAAATCCCTGTAATATTATTATTGTATGAACACCTTTTAATATAATTTTATTAATTAATTTCTTAAAAGATTAACATTTTTTTATAAAATAATTAGTATACATTCATTAAAAATAATTTATAAAGTAAGTATTTATTTTTTTAAAAAATTAATAATTGTAAAATATATATGAAAAAAATATTTTTTATAAATATAATAAAAATTACATTTTAAAACGTGTTTTCAGTCACGTCTCTGTATTCTGTATAAATTGAATTCCAACAACCCAAAAACCACTTGTCTGAGGAAAAGCTTCAACATCAATTGCAAAACCTCTCATGGCTACCTCTATCACAAGCTTGAACTCTTCAAGGGTGCTTCACATTCACAGACAGCCACACCCATATTCCATTTCTCCCTCAAATATGTCAAAGTTTGCGTCTTTTCCTTCTTCAGCTTTCAGAACCCCTTCTTCTTCTTCTGTGTGTTGCTCTCTCACCAGAGACCCTGCTTCTGTTGTTCCATTGAAGGATCACATCAAGCTTGATAATGGGTCGGTTACGCCTCAGAGACCCGATTCGTTTGGTAGATTTGGAAGGTTTGGTGGCAAATATGTGCCTGAAACTCTGATGCATGCACTCACTGAGCTTGAGGCTGCTTTCCATTCCCTCGCTGCTGATGAAGATTTTCAGGTTTTGTGATGATTTTTACTGTATTTTGGTCATTTTTGTTGGGTTTGATTTGTTTACGGAAATGCTGATTGTTTGATTTTTAGGTTCTGGGAAGCTGTTTCAGGACTTATTTTTTAGAGTTACAAAATATATTTTTGCAATTTTCAATAAAATAACACAAGTTCCAATGAAAATATGATTTAAATTAAATTAAAATTCTGTTAACCTCAATCATAAGGTGAGTTTAGCATCCAAAATAATAAAAGAAAAAACATATATTATATTAAAATTGTAAAATTACAATAAGTGCTCATCTATTTCCCTTTTTCAATAAAATTTTATCATTCGTTCCTCAATCTCACTTATCCTCAGTCCATTACCATTTTTTTATTAATCTAGTCTTATATTTTAATTATATTTAATGCCTCAGAATTAATTTTATCAAGGTCAATTTTACTCAACTTTAAATAGACACTCGGTGGATTTAGTTGAAGATGAGTTTCCTTTGCAATGTGGGGGCTAAGCTGAAATTTTGTTTGTAATGGGTTTTGTTTTTTCATTTTGAACAGTATTTGTTAGTGTGGCACACAACTTGATTGTTGAAATGTGGCAGTGATGGTAGTTTTGGCTATTTAGTTATTTTTTTTAAAGTTTAGCATATTTGGGACTGTCATTTTGTCTGTTGAATTGATTGAATCCTCTGACCATGTTGGAAGTGGGGAATACCGGAAACTGAGCTGGGGTTAAGCTTCGGCCTTTCTGCTGTGGGAAGAATTAATGGTTACTTTATACTCGACCTTGTTATTTTAAATAATGAGGGGGGTGTTTGGTTTTACAAAACGTTTTTAAACTTCATTTTATGTTTTCACTTTTAATTATTAAACTGTGACCATGTTTTCATTTTGTTTCAAAGATTTGTACAGTGAAAAACAATTTTACAGTGTTTCTGAAACCAAACAGTTGACACTAAGGGTTATTTCCTTTTCCTTTTGCTGTTTCTCATGCTTGTGAATGAAAATTTCATTTTTGTGACAATTTGAATGTGTGTCATTTTATTCTTCAGCACATTTGTTAGTCTTTGCTTTTACAGTTCCATACAAAACTGAACAATTTGGAACTCCATATTAATCTCCACTCAATCATTCTGTGAATAATTTTTTATCTCTCTCAACAAGCACATCTCTCATTCTTTGTATGTTAACAACATTTAGCAGCTAAACAATGTAGTTTCTTGGACGGAAAAATAATGGAAATTTTCTGAGATAGATGATTTAAATTGCAGAGAGAGCTGGCTGGGATTCTAAGAGACTATGTTGGCCGGGAGAGTCCTCTTTATTTTGCAGAAAGGTTGACGGAGCATTACAAGAGGCCTAATGGTGAAGGGCCTCACATCTATCTGAAGAGGGAAGATCTTAATCACACAGGGGCTCACAAAATTAACAATGCTGTTGCCCAAGCTTTGCTTGCCAAGAGTTTGGGCAAAAAACGCATTATTGCTGAAACTGGAGCTGGTCAGCATGGAGTTGCCACTGCTACTGTATGTGCTCGGTTTGGTTTAGAATGCATAATTTATATGGGTGCACAGGATATGGAAAGGCAGGCACTCAATGTTTTCAGAATGCGCCTTCTTGGTGCCGAGGTATATACATCATCTGTTATTGTTGTTCCATTTGGTAGGTAGATATATCCTATCATATAAAAGATTTCTTATTTTGTTGACAATTAAATAAAAGAAAAATATATCCTTGAAATGAAAAAGGTTAATGTTCTCATGTTTGTTGTTCTTCATTATGTCATATGAATGATCACTTGTTGAAGACAATAACGTGGCTGATGGCTGTCAGTTGTCTGTTATTTTAAGAATGAACGTTAAAGCTTGCTATAGATGTCGTTAATCCCTTTAACTGCATGTACGGTGTTCTTCATGTTTGCAATTGCACTGTGTCCTTTTGCATATAAATGTCTTTTACTCTGTCTGTTGATATCTTTTCTATTTTAATATAAATATAGTGGGGTAAGATCCTTCTACGAATAAACTTTTAACTGTTTCTCTTTTGTTAGACATACACGTCTTTCATGCACTTCTTTTTTTGAGCTAGTACTTAAGGATAAAATACATTAGATATGCAGCTATGTTCTATATTGCAATCATCAGCTGAACCACTTTCTTCACAGGATAATTTATGATGATTCTGAAAGTATATGTCCTGTTAACTATTGAAAATCAGGATTGGATTTGTATATACCAGTATATAAAACTTTTTGTTGAAACTATTTTCTGATCCAGTAGACAGTTACTCCTAATGTGCCAAGGTTCACAAATTGATTGAGGCAAATGGTAAATTTGACAAATGTTTTGAGTAGCATAGCTCAATCAATGGATGCGGATGTGCATGATTTTGTTCTGGAAAGTAGACATATTTTTATGCTTGATATATTCTGTTTTTGGAGAATATTTTTGGTTCTGAACATGCATAGATGCATCTTTACAACATGACTGTATTAATGTAAGTATTTTTATTTGAGACAAGATAGTGTACTACATGCATAGATGCATACGCAAGATTTGGGTCAACATGAGATATGGACACTAACATGAGAATGTTATAAGTAAAAAAGTTTGAACACTGTATTAATGTTAGTATTTTTATTTGAGTAATTGTAGCATCCAAAGACCAAGTCTTGATCGGTATAAATGTCAAAAACATTTGAATTAATATATTACATTCTTCATCAGGGAAATTGTGTGCTCTTCAATCTTGTAATGTGATCGTAATGTGTGTCCAAAACTAGTTGCTATATGTTGAATTTAAAAGATCTATCTACATTTGAAAATTATGATTTGCTCTTTGGCCTATCTAATAGGATTATCTGTACTATAGGTGCGAGCTGTGCATTCTGGGACTGCTACGCTTAAGGATGCTACATCAGAGGCTATAAGGGACTGGGTGACTAATGTAGAGACAACTCATTATATTTTGGGTTCTGTTGCTGGGCCACATCCGTATCCAATGATGGTAAGAGAGTTTCATGCTGTGATTGGCAAGGAGACCAGAAAGCAAGCTTTGGAGAAATGGGATGGGAAACCTGATGTTCTGATTGCATGTGTTGGTGGAGGTTCAAATGCCATAGGACTTTTCCATGAATTTGTCGATGACAAAGATGTTAGGCTAATAGGTGTGGAGGCTGCTGGATTTGGTCTTGACAGTGGCAAGCATGCTGCAACATTGACAAAGGGAGAAATTGGGGTTTTGCATGGAGCTATGAGCTATCTGCTGCAGGATGATGATGGACAAATAGTTGAGCCTCACTCTGTTAGCGCAGGGTAATTCATCTGAATGATAATTTGCTATCCATTTTTCTTTTTTCTATTGTGATTATACTTACTCTGACTGTGTAATTATGTTTACAATGATGAAAAAATTTATATGCAGCTTGGATTACCCTGGTGTTGGTCCTGAACATAGCTTTTTGAAAGATTTAGGGCGTGCTGAATACCATAGCATCACTGATGAAGAAGCATTGGAAGGTATTCTTGCTTTGTATAAGACGTGATTACAGATTTATGTGAAAAATATTTTTAATATACAGTGAAAATTGCATGGATTTTAAATTTCAGTTGTCATGACTTATGTCTTTCTCCCTCCTTTGCATTGGCATACACTATGATTTTGTGTGATTGTGCTTTATAAATTATAACTGTAAAGAGATTCTATTGTATGTGAATGATAACTCTCATCTGAGTCATTTGTATGATACTTATTTTACTGTATTATTTCTGTAATCTTTATCTGGTCTTCCTGTAAATTCCCCATGGCACTTGTTCTTTATTAGTTTTATTGATGTGTCTAAAATCTAAGTAGGTGATGTCCATCTTAGATATCTTTCAAATAGCATGTATTCTAGTATTTTTATCTTTAGTTTACTTAAAATTGTTCTGGAGCATGACTTTATGATGAACACAGAATCTCATCTTGCCATTCTCCATCATACAGCATTAATAAGATAGATATATTTTTATACTTTTGTGGTTAGATGTTCATGTTATTGTTGCTCTTTTGTCAGATCTTGTTTCTATCTAATTTTGTGGATGCTTTTGTATGTGTAGCTTTTAAGAGAGTTTCGCGACTTGAAGGAATAATCCCGGCTTTGGAAACATCTCATGCTTTGGGATATCTAGAGAAAATCTGTCCAACCCTTCCTAATGGAACCAAAGTTGTGGTTAATTTCAGTGGCAGAGGTGATAAGGATGTTCAAACTGCTATCAAGTACTTGAAAGTTTGAAGGGGCGGGTGTATTATCTTCTGATTGAGCTTCATTTTCATACTTAGAGACAGATTTTGCTAAATTTATTGCTAAAGCAAGTTCTAGTTAATAACCATGTGTATTTGCAACAGAACTGTGGCCATTGGATTTTCAATAAACTTAAGTTTTGAATGTTATCATAAAAGTAGTGATTGAATACAAAATAAACATGTGGTGAAAACTTGCTGCTTTGAATTGTATTTATTTAGGGCTAATAAAGTGGTAAACAAGTTTGCATATCTAATGGTTGATTTGAAACCTACTAATCTATCCTTACCTATATGCATGAAGCAATAAACCTTAGACTGAGTCCTATCCGATGGTGGGAAAAAAAATTTAGAATGATCCTTTTCTGAGTGGTAATATCAAAAGTTGAAACTTGGAAGTGACAAGATCACAAAACTGCGTGGAGCTAATTGGATATAATGTTAGATAGACATGTTAAGTGTTCCTATCCAAATGTTAATGTAACTGAAAAGTGGAAAGTTGGTTTATAAATCTATTTTTCTTTGGTTCTTCCATTTCCTAATACCTACATTCCCTTGTGTGGTTTTATGTGCCAATAATATGGTGCTTATTAGTGTGGCAAATCTATTTATATGTCTCGGGACCCACTAATAATTTTTCCCCACTTTGGATCTTTAGAATTATGCAAAATTCAAAATTTAATATTTTCATAAATTACTGTCTTGAAGAACATGATTTTCCCATTTTTTAATAAAAATCTGAAGCATGGTAAAATTAACCACAAAGAAAATGTTTTATTTTACACCTTAATAGGTGTATACATCGTTGAGAGATAGGAAGATATGAGAAAGAAGTGTAAAACGGATGAGTGAAAATTGAGATTTGAAAAAAAATATTATTACGAAAATTTTCACTTTTCTTCTGTTCTCCATCTAAATACTAGATGCCTAACATAACACTTTTTCAAAGAAAAAAAAATCAAGAAAAGTGAGATACTTCAAAATTTATAATTTATAATAACATTTAAGATTTAGGTGAGAGGAAATTTATAAATTTATTTTAAAAATCATTAAAACTAATAAGTGAGTATAGATACATAGTATAAAAATAAGATAATGTAGCATAATTTTAGTACAATTTTCAAATTGAAGGTTCAAAAGAAATGATGGTAAATAGCAAGAAACATGCTTATTATACCTTTTTTAAGAGTTACATCTCCTCAACTTGTGAAGCAAAAGAAGTGTAAGTATAAACAAGATAGGACTGATTGTGAGGGTGAAAAATGAACGAATATGACGTGATATATATGTGTATAACATTATTCTTTTCATTTATACCATTGTTACATCACCTTTTAGATAATACAACAAGAGAAGTGTGCTAATTTCACTTTCCGTGTACAACAAAAGATGTGAAGTATATTGTGCAACAATCGTTTTCATGTTCTTATAGTAGTTGCTTACTTATAAAAGAACACTTCTTATTTAATATGGACTTTTCTGTGTTAAATAGTAACCTGCCACTTACATGAAATAAAACAGTATAAAAATGACCAGATGTAAGGTGATGTATAAATGTGCATACAACATTATTCTTATTTTTTATATTATTTTTATAATACTTTCATTTTAGATAAGAAAAATAAGAGAAACACAGTTCACATTACTCAATCATTTATTTCCAAGTCTAACAAAAGGTGATAGAGTAGTGTGCAACAATCATTTCCATATTCTGATAATAGTGATTTGTTTACAAAGGAAAAAAACTCAAAACACTATCTTACATGCAATCAAAACTTTTATGCTTTCCATAGTCACTTGTGGAGCTGTCAAAGTGGAATTTGACCCATGAGTTAACCTAGCTTGTGGTGAGTTTTTACTGAGTTATATTATAAAATAGTTGGGACTAAATGAGAGAAATGCATTTCACATTATATTTTCAATACACACTCATTTTTTCCTATATAACTAAAGGGTGAAAGCATAGTGTGCATAAATCATTAACATATTTCTATACCATTAATTTATTTTCCTGAAAAAATTACTCTTAACATTATCTTACACCAAACCTGGGCCGTTATGTTTTAAATAGCCCATATGTACAGAAATTAAAGGCCCATTTACTATTTATAAACTTGAGAGTAAATTTATTTGGTGACTAACATTTATTTAAAAAATGTGTGGAAGCTTTTTATTTCTGGCTTGTCCTCATGCAAACCTTATCCACAAAAACATTTTTGGGGCCTCAGTTTCAAAAGCATCATCAACAACAACCCCTTTAGTGTCTCTGCAATGAGTTCACCATCTCTATTACCTCTTAGATTGGCTTCCTAGCCCATCAAACTTACCATGGCTGCTTCCACCTTCCACTTTTTATTATCTTGGAAGTTACTTTTTATAGAACACAGTTGGAAACTCTAAGAGGAACAGTTTGTGCAAGATTCATAGCTAAGGGTTCTTGTTACTTGCTTATACACATTTTATTTGGTGTCCAAATGCATGGAAGCTGAAGTATGAATACACAACCTCGTCACAGTTCCCTGTGGACCCAGTCTCCTTAAAACTGGTTCATCTCTCTCTCTCTCTCTCTCTCTCTCTCTCTCTCTCATATTAATTACTTTTTCAAATTTTTATTGTTCTTCTGAAAAAAATTCTAATAAGGTGCACCCTAGATTATTTTCTAAGTGATGTGTGAAGGGGTATTTCTTAAAAATCTTTTATGAATCTTAAGTTAAGACTGATTAGTTTTCATGTTTAATATGAATCTGTTAAAAAATATTTTCAAGAAACTAATATTTATAAGTGTTTTTTTTTTAAATTATGTTTGTTTAACAAAATGTTCTCAAGGAAAGAATAAGAATATAAAATAAACATAAAGGTAGAAAAATTTTAGTGATATTCATGATAATGTTTCAATAAATCCTTCAATCTCTTTTGTTATATTCTCAGAAATTATGGTTTGCATAAAATATGATTCTGAAAAATCCCATGAATAAAAATAACTTACATACCAAACGCTATACGTCAAAATTTTAAACGTTTATATTTACTTTCCATACAATTGTAATAGCAATGAGAAAGGCTTTGGCAAACCACAGCCATAAAAAAAAAAAAAAAAACATAAAATATTTACTATCATCCGAAAATAAGTTTTATTATTATTATATTTAACAAAATCACAATTTCTTCTTCCACCATTTCTATCTCCATCATCGTAACCTCCCTAAGAAAAAGAAAAATAAATAAACATTAATAACATTTTTATTTATAAAGTGAAATTAATGTTAACCTACCGAATTAAGAATAAAACTCACTAAAAAGGAAGTGAATCTCACGTAAATTTTAACTAATAAAAATGTGTTAATAATAAATGAATTAAAGATAAATTATATTCCCAACCTCAAGATTTAATGAAATTATATCGAGTACCCTTTCTTTGACTCTTCACAAACCTCATGACCTATTTGTATAACTATCTAGCTGTTATGAAAAACTTGAAAATTTTTAGCATCTCACGAAATGTGCACTGAAAAATACATAAAATTCATGTAAACTACTTTACCCTTCAGTCATTTTTATAAAGAACAAAATGAAGTATTTTTTTAGTTTTAATTATAAAAAATATAAAATAAATTTAAGATGTATTAATTGTTAAACTCTTTTTATATTTTTTTCTATTAGTGTTATTGAATATACAATCTATCAATCATATCATTTAATATTATAGGTATTTTTGAAATAAAATTTATATTTATGAAAATATAACTGATTTAATTATTTTTTTTAATACTAATAATTTAGTTTTTTATTTTTTACGAGAGAAAGTACTGTTCAAGCATGCCATTAATTTATGAAATAATATAATATTATATATCTCAATTACATAAACTATGCATGATTTTTATGCAATTATGTGAATCAATAAAGATCAATATAAAGTGAAAAAAAAAGGATATAAACTGAAATTTCATTTACTGTCATGCAGAATGTGAATGTTATTTGTCCATGTATTGAAGAAAATGTTGCTAGAAATATATATGAGAGTTATAAATGCAAGTTTCAACAAAGAACGAACACATGAGCAATGGGAATTGGGAACATGTCCTTTTGAAAAGTGAAGAGTCGCTTTCTCTTGTGAAAAAGCCCACATCACATGAAAAGGGTCAAAGGACGGACAGAACTGAAGGATCACAACGCCCCTCCTTATGAAAAGCATAACATAAAAAGATAACAAATAATAACGCCCTGAAGAGATGGGTTTTTAATATATTTTTATTTATTATTAATTAAAATTTATTAAAAATTATGAAAATATATAAAAATTTATTAAATTAAGAATAAAACTCACAAAATTTAATCAATCACTAATAATATATTAAAAAATATATCTGCTGCCACACTCATATTACCACTTTTTTTAATTGCTTTTGTTTAAAATATCTTTCTCTTTATCTTATAATTATAATAGTAAAAATATTTTACATAAAATTTTTTAAATTGAAGTGACAATAAACCTATTAGTGTGACAATAAATATTTCTTATTTAAGAAAGTGTGTAAGCATTTCTCATGCCGTGAAATATTAAATCCCGGTTGCATCTTCACTAATGTCAGCAAACATTTATATATATCATATAACAAGAGGGCATTAAATAAATCATGCGCATCACATCATTACAAGCTCCTTATAGCAATTCAAAGTTTTGTGTCATTATTCTCAGACCATATAAACAAAAATATTTATTTCAACTCATTGGCACTTAAGAAATTGAAAATTTTAAAAAGCCTAACTAATCATCTGTTTTATGATAATGTCTTCCTCAGCATTATTCATATTATTATCTACAGATGGACTAACAACCAGATCATCCTAGTCTTAACAAAAATCCACAAAAATCCAGCATTCCTTGTCCCTGGTTGAGCATGATGAACAGCAACAAACAAGTACTTAAAGGAATCTTGGTGCCCCACCCCCACTCTATTGTTTTGCCTGCAAAAATAGGTAGAACAAGAAATAAGAATAAGTATACTTGCCAAACAAAACATTTATCTTTAAAAAAAAAAAGCATAATCCAGTCTATATTCTACTTTGTTTCTAACCCTTGTTTTTCTATATTCTAATAGGAGCATCTATGGTACCTTGAAAGTAATTTCCATGTGGGTGGTCAACGTTGGTAACTCTAGAAGGTAAGCTAACCAATTTTGAAATTGACTTGGAAAAGGAATAAGAAAAGGTAGGTTCAATGTTTGAACCAAAAGGAGTTAGGTGGGAATTCAAAGTCAGGCTACCAATGAAACACCTAACTTCAGAATAGCATCAATCAGATGAGATGGCAAAGTCATGAGGCACATTGATACCCAACTCCACCCTATGTGCCACCTTTTCTCCATTGTAAACACTAACTAAATCAAAATTCTTCAGCACTTACACCCTTTTACAAAGATAATTATAAGTTCAAAATTCTATGGCACTTAGCACTCCAGACAAAAACACAGTGCCTTCAGAGGTTCTAGTTCACTCAAATCGATATATAACACTACATTGAGGTAGAAGTTTTGGATGTAAATAAAATTTTCTTTCAGTAGTAAATACTATGGCCAAAGTGTACAATTAACAATTACTGACATATCAAAGCTGAAAAAAATGAAGACTAGAAAATACCTGTGAATATAAGAAGGTTCCAAGGATAGCAATAGCAGCTCCAAGAGCATTGATGGGCTGAACTGGTGTGTGGAAGATAATAATTGAGGACACTATGACGGATATACGCTTCATGGTGTTTCCGATGCTGAATGTCAAGGGAGAGATCTCATCTAGAGACATGTATGACACCTGATTGTACAGATGATAGAATACACTCTGAGCTGCAACCCACCTGTTGTTGACAATCACCAGTCATACATTCAGTCATAATGTTCGGAAGTGCAGAAACTTTAAGAACCAGAAGATATAGAATGAGAAAAACAGACAACTCAAAATCAGAATGAGATCATTAATGTCACAGTACACTGCAATAAAGGTTTAATCATTAATTACATTAACATATTTTGGCATTTGTCAATCAGTCCATTGCTCCTCATATTATTTATTGGCTCTCAAGTCTCAAATTAAAAAAAGGACAAACAGAAAAGACTGAAGAATTTGACAATTGGCATAATTTTAACAGGTAACAAATGTTCTTCATGAAGGAGTGAAACGTGATAAAATTATAAAAAACACAATAGGGATAGCATTACAGTAAAAAGTCAACATGAAGTTACCATATGAATTGGGGTCCAATTTGAGAGAGGGCTGTTTGCCATCCAGCAGCCCACATCTGTGGTCCTTCTACAGCAATTGCAAAGGGTGTAAGTATTGCAAGAGACAAAATTGATAAACAAGCATAGTAATTCATTCCACTGACAGACTTTCCCTTCATGCCCTTCTTAGAAAAGATATTACGGAATACGAATGCCAAATTTGATATCATAGCCCCCATAAAACCTGGAAAAAAAGTCAATGAAATTAAAGCCAGGAGAGTGCAGAGAATTACTTGCAGCAAAATTATGAGAAATACATTATAGAACATCCTCTGATGGCACTTTTACACAAATAAATCATAAGTAAATCACCCTTGTGGTTGGTGGAACTCAAGCAAGAATTAACAACAGAGTGCACTAATTGCAGACAACAAAAGAAAAAGCGATCTAACCATAACTCAATAAATGATATACAAATTATCTTTTTTCAGGTTAAATTCAACATTCATGTGGATTCATCATCCTATCTTCAAAGCTAGAAAAGAACAAAATTTCTTCAAAGGACAAGTTCATTACCAGTCATGTTAAAATTGAGCTCTGTCACAGCAGCAAGTGCACACCCACCAATGATTGGAATTAAAGATAGATAGACTGGCACAGGGAAGGTCTCACCCAAAAGAAATCTTGAAACCAGAACACTGAAAGCAGGCTCACCACTCTTGATAATATGTGTAAACGACACTGCAACTTTTGACATACTAACCGTTGCCGCAACATGTCCTATTGTATGTGCAACAGCAACCTGAGGGAGAAACACCAAAGACTTAAGGTCACTATCCATTCAAAAAGATAAACAAACAGAGGAGAATGACCAAATTGATTAATAACTAACCAACAGATTGAAGGGTTTTATTTATTATTGGACGGATGCTAAAGTGAAAATGAAATTACTCTTTCAAAACTTGAAAATTGTCATAATTGATAAACCAAAATCTCAAAATTAAAGCTGTCCAATTCAGCTATTCAAGGTTAGAATGAACTAGACTAGATTTTCTCTACTTTGTTTTTTTCTGGAATCAACCAACATCAATATCCAGATATATGTCCAAAATTATTATAAAAGAAAAACATTTTTTCCAGAACAAAAAAACAATATGAGCAAACAAAACTAAGCTTTCACCCTCTCCCATCAATTTATTTCCCAGAAGAAACAAACAAAAGACAAATCAAAACTAACTTACAGGGAACAAAGACTTCCAAAACTCGAGATCAGTCTTAGGCGCCTCAGCTATCCTTGTGGCCCAAGAGACCAACATCATAAGAGACCCACATGCAAGTGAGAGAGTTGAGGTAAGCCAAGGGTAAGGGTAGGCATTCAAAACCTTCTTGTTATAAATATTGAACACCACATTCAGAGCCCACCAGGTTGCAAAATATATCCCAATTTTCACCTTCTTTGCAGCCTCTGATGGTGTGTTTGCAGCTTCAATTTCTGATCTATCTGCCTCATATGCTTCACACTTCATCAAATCATTCCTTCCATCATTCTTCACTGGCTCAAAATTTTTCACTGACCCAAAATTCCCAACACCAAGAGATGCAAGGTGCAGAGGCCTTTGCACTGAAACAAGAAATTTTTGAGCCTTAACTCTTGACAAAGAAGGCAAAAACAATCGTGCCTTAAGAGGGGTGGCATGTGTTCTCTTCAAAACAAGATCAGAACCACTGATCCCTACGCCAGGTTGTCTCAATGAAGAAATCATTGTAAAGGGTAGCAAAAAATCCAAACTTTCTGACCAAAATCTTAAAGGGTTGCTAAAAACCTCAGAAGAAACAAAACCAAAAATAAAATAAAATCAGAAACAACCCTTCTTGTGTCAGGGTAGTGAAATTAACTCTCACAATCCTGACCACTATTTATATACGAGAATGTGTCTCAGCCTCTGATCTCATGCCCCTCTGAGATCTTGAAAGGTTTATGTCACTCAAAGCAAATACTGCAAAACAATAATTATAATAAATTAATAAACAAATAATAGAGAGTTTTATCGTTGAAAATTCAAGACAAAACTCAATAACATAAAAGAAACAATAAAGGGAAGGGAATGATACCTTGGAATCTCGTATTGGAACAAATTTCAAATGATAACATTAATATTTATAGTCAAATAATGTTGGTGTTGGTTTTGGTTCCGTATAATTAATAGCAAGTTGGAGGCGCTGTATTGTGGGGTTCGGTGGCTGAAGCGTGATGGTGAGGGCAAGTGTTTCTGATTTCTATTGTGATTGATGATGGCTTTCAAATACACAACAAACTGTGTCTTCGAAATCTCAGTCTAAATTGAAAATCGAAAATTTCCAACAATAACAATTATCACGTGCTTGCTACCACCAAAACAAAATTTATCACGTGCTATCTTTCTCCTATCTTTTGCTTTTAAAACCAGATTTGTTGAGTCTTGCAGTTAATTTTTTTTTTATTAAATAAAATTTACGTGAAATTTATGAAATTAAAACGCTTTTTTTTTGCGCGTAAATTTATGAGTTTTGTTATATTTGATAACAACGAATGTGTTATTAATATTTTTAAATTTATTTATTAATCACATATATAATCAGTATACTTTTTGTATACTGCGTAATTATTTTTAAATTAATAATAAATATCTTATTATGTCATATCCAACACTTAAAATCACTTTGGTTTAAGATGATTTTTTCTTTTTATGATAAATAAGAAAAAAAAACTCGTATATTATTCATTAGAGCAATATTTTGTGAATGGGATTTAAATAAGAAATTGACTTTCCTTATTATAAGGAAGAAAACTTCTTCTCTTGATGAGTTTGTGTACTTTGAATCCAAAATTTATTTGATACTACATATGTTTCTTGCTTCAATTTTCTTGTAAGAATAGTGATAACTGATAATTAATCTTTCGAGTTATCATTAAAATATTTAATTATGATATAATAAGTATTTAAGATATGAAATTCTTTAGAGTAATCATATAGTTTAACAATTATAGAAATTATGTATACTATAAAATAACATAAAATTAAAATCACAAATTATTTTAAATAATGTACGTAATCACAAATTAATAGAAATTATAGTAAATATGAATTCTATAGGAAACGGGATAACAAAATCTTGCACAATTTAATTATGGATTTATTTTGATTTTGAATGGGTATATATCCTTAGGATGTGTTTCATCATGTTTAGTCAGATTCTTAGATTAGGGTATTCATCAACCGATCTAATTTAATGCAAATTGTAAAAATTAAGTGGAATAATTAAAAATTATCAAAATCAATTATTTATTAGATTAAATTGAATTTTGAATTCTACTTTAAAAACTGATTGAATCTACTCCAAATCGAACATATATATATATATATATATATATAATTAACATTTTACTTATATTTATAAAATAATATATATCAATAAAATTATAATACTTAAGTATTTCTTATAATTTAATTTTTAAATTTATACCATGTTATTATTTTTAGAAATACATTTTACTTTTTTATGAATATGTAAATATATTTTTAATAAAAAATATTATTTTATATCATATTTTTTATATAAATTATTATATATAAAATATTATTTTTTTAACAATAATAAAAAATGATAAAATAATATATTTATTGTTTTTAATTAAATTAGAAATAAAATTATAAAAATGATTTATCTAATTCAATACAAACTACTTTTGGTTGGATGAAATGTGGTTTATTTATTTATTTATTTTTAATCGATCCAAAGCAAATTTGATTATTATTTTAATGATTGGATTAAATGACTTTTTGTCTAAAATTAATCTAATCCAACCTGTGATTACCTTTATTTTAGACTATGCATGCCTTCATTTTATTTTAATTTTCACAATCTCAACTTTTCTTACCTAAATTTGAGTTAAAAAATTCTTCGTGTCTTTGCTTCTGGGTAAAAGGCTCATAAATTGAGTAAATAGCAAGCATTAATGGTCATGATGATAGTAGAATTCACCCAAAACACACAAGATAAACAAGTGGGGGACTTTAAACCAAACCTTGGAGTACTTGATTGAGACTAGGATCTTAGTCCTTTAAGAGTTCTTACCTAGGTGTATCTTGATTTTCTTTATTCGTTTTGATATTTTGAAACCCCTGCTCAAATGGTGTTGTCATTTGGTTTTTGTTCTTGAAAATGTGGTAGATTGATACTTTAGTGACTTCATGTTTATTTTTTGTACTTGATTAGCTGATTTTGGTCAATATGTTCTTTGGTTGATGATTCTGATTGTGGTAATTTAGTTTTTGGTAATTCATGCAGGTTCAGCTAAGGCAATGTTTTCACATGGCATTAAATGTAATGGTTGAAAACTTCATTGCCACTAAAACCCTAGAAAAGTGCTAATTAGTAACGTAAGGGTATTGATTAAGAAATTAAGATTAATATTTTTATTGAAAAACGTAAAAATGTACTTCTATAATATTTAGTGCATTTTAATATATAATTTTAAATTATTATTTATTAATTTATTAAATAGCCTTAACAGCACTAATTACTAATTAGCATGACCCAAAAACATAAAAAACTGCAAGTCTTTCACCTAGTATTACCTACATACGACGTTAATTTATAGTTGCTGATCCCCCATGCGACATAGCATTACTCTGAGTTAACTTAAAGAGAGGTGAAGTCTTCATCAATAATTAAGTCTCTGTCAAGAATAGCTCTTACATTTGTTCAGTGTCTTGCTTCATCAGCAATCTTCTTCATCCTAATTCATTAATTGCACTGCTTCATATCTGCAATGCATAACATTTGGCTGTTGTGTGATTGCATTTAAGGTGAAAGGGATAGAACCAGACATCATTTAGGAATCAAAGGAACATGTTGGGGGCGGAGCTGGGAATTTTAAAAGAGGGGCCAACTAATTAACATATATACTATTAAGTAAAATTAAAATTAAAATTAATTATCACTTAGAAATAAATATAATACACAAAATCTCTAACAAATTATAAGTCATCCAAGCATATTTAGGATCAACATAAACACTTACATATACATGAGCTATATACCTAATATATTTATTTTTTTAACTGTGGTCATCAGTGATGCTTCATGGTATAAAAATCATCAATTATCACATCTAAACTAAACTTTGTAGTAATATTCTTTTCCATGTAACAACCATGTAATCTTCAAGAAAATTATCTTCCATCTTATTCGGAAGCTTTGTTTTAATAATTTTTATAGCAAAAAATGTATGTTTTATTGTTGCTGTAGATAATTCATATGCCAATTGGATCATCTCTTGCTCATAAAAATCTAAAGAATAAAAATTGCATGATTATTGAGTGTTAACATTGCATAATCATTAGTTAAAAGGCTATTAAAATTGTATAATCATTAAGCGTTAATATAAATTGTATCAGTGATTGATAATCATAAAAAGATCAGAGTTACAATTAGGTTAAAAGTGAACATAATAAAGTGTAAGAGGTGATACTTATATGTCCTAAATTCCTTTCCAACAGTCTAATCAAAAGTGCATTGCTTTATTAATTTGAATTGTTTGTTTTACTCTTAGTTTAACTATCACAAATCTTTTAAGTTCAAATAATTAAATTATGACTTTCTTGATAATTAGAAATAATCATTTTAGAACGATATTACTTTTCGATGGGTACACTTGTTCACGAACAAGTAACTCGTAACTTATCATTCTTTATGTTCTCTCTTTGGTTGTCTTCCTCCACTCTTCTTCTAGTGGGTGTCTTTGTGGTCCTCTGTGACACCCTTACTTTTATTTTTGAAAAAAATGAGAATTTTGGTACAACGATTCTCGTTCAAGTGAGATAAATTTTGTTCAAGAGAAAAAGATTTTTTTGAACCAAGCTCTCTAGAGCTCTATTACTGTAGCGAGAATAAGATAGTGGAATCAAGCTTTTTCTAGAATCTTCTGTTGTAGCTAGAATGATAGATAGTAGAAGAAAAAAACATTTTCTGATGATATTGAAGGTAATTATTTAAGGGAGTTATGTTGAGAAACTTTATTTTTTTTTTCCGTCAAAACACCTCTCCCTCTCCCTCTCCATTCCTTTCGTTCTCTTCTTCTCCCTTCTCTGAAAATAGTTCCTCTAAACTTGAATCATCTTGGATCTGAGCTCTCACTTCTATTTCACTCGAATATAAGTAAGTTTCTAGAGCTCAGCTTTTGAATCTCGTTATTGTCAAATGCAAATGAACTGTTCACTCATTAATGCACTCGTGGAATAGCGGAAGCTTGAAACACACATTTTACTTAATTTTTGGAGAATGCACAATTACATTGCAAGATGTTTATATGTTACTTGAAATTAAGAAAAATGGTGTAGCAGTGATTGGTTCTACAAATCCTTTTACTATTGTAGCACAGGAAATGTGTGATAATTTAATAGATTATCGTGGATATCACAACACCTTGGTTGGCTTTCTTGTAATTCAGACGTTAGGTTACAACAACATGCTCGTGGGTATATTCTTTGCTTGCTTGGACATGTTTTGGTGCCGAATAAAAGTAATGTAGTGGTGCATTCAAAATTCTTGCTGTTGTTGACCGATGTGAATCAAATTGGGAATTACAGTTGGGGATCAGCATGCTTGGCCTCTCTGTATAGTGGGTTGGATTGTGCTTCTAGATATGATGCCAAAGAAATATGTGGGTGCTTGATACTAGTGTAGGTGTGGGCATGGCATCGCCTCCCATGGCTAGCTCTAATCCCGGGTTCACCAATAGTATTTCCGCTTGCTCTGAGATGGAGATGTATGCGCTATCTAACGAATACACCATTTAAGAATCTTCAAAATATTAGATTAGCATTGGATCAAATGGGTGTTAATAAGGTAAACAATTTAACTAATTGTTATTAATATGTTACATGATGATATGAGTGTCAAACCTTTTTATAACGTGTGTTAAAAGAAATTAACAGTTTTTTTGCAATTTTTGTGGACACCATATATGGATGAAATTGATGCAGTCACTCCAGATGACACATGGGATGAACAAAAAGTGTGGTCTACTGTCTCTCCTCTTATATGTTTTGAAGTTATAGAGTGGCATGCAACTGACCGTGTCATGCATCAATTTGGATATGCTCAGCCTATTCCTCTCCCAACAACTTGAAGGAGTCCATAACAGAGACCTACGTAGAGTAAGAGAACCAAAGGATTGGACAATCATTCATCATGATTGGGTGACAA